TTATTACAATGTTCACTTTGTGTGTAAGTGTTGTATGAGTACACAAAACCTTGTTGAAACTTCCTCAATAAATGAAGAGATGTCCTTTTTGTACATATGCATTTGTGAAAGATAAAATTTCTCAGCTCTTTGAGCAAATGAATATGTGGTATGATCCATCATGGATTTAAAAATTTTTTGGGGGGATAGGTCTCACTATGTTGTCCAGGCTGGCCTTGAACTCCTGGGCACAAGTGATCCTCCCTCCTCATCCTCCTAAGTAGCTGTCACTACAGGCACCACCACCATGTCTGGCTTCATCTTGGTTTTTGATCAATTTCATCAGAAGACAAAGGTTGTCCATCAGGATATTTCAGATGGCTGCAATTATATACGCCATTTCTTCATGAATATGGTTACTCTTTTCAACTATTATACCTGTGGGATTGTTGTTAGTACACCTGAAGGTTTATGCTTATAAAAATATGTATGTTATTCTTGCCTATTTTGTTGTATAGAGTGGCCTATGAAGTGTTCTGTCATGTTTTTAATATGTTTCTCAAATCTTTTAAACATGTAAATAACTGCCTTTAAAAGAACTTAAAATTTTTTTCAGAATTAGATTTTTTGGATTTTGATCTTTTGGGATTTCAACATTCTGTATTATGGCATTGACGGCTGTGTCCTTTGGGATTATGGCTCAAACTCCACCTTGTACAGGAGCTCTACTGATCTTGTAACGGCTCCCTGGGCTCACATGTCTTCTCCCTTGTTGTGCTTCTCCTGATTCATCCATCCAGTGGTGCCTCCCGTTGCATTTTAGGAATATTTCTTTTATAGCATTTGCCAACCTTCACTGACATTTGTTTAGTTGTCTGTCCCTTCCATACTCCCAGTAGCAAACTTTGAGTGCAACTATTATAATTTAGGTGGGTTTTTGTATCTGGAGAAGTCTCAATAGAAGATGAATTTCCTTTCTTTTGCAAAGACATAGAATGTAGTATTGCTTGGTCTGCTGGATTAGAGTTACTCTGTATATTTTTGAAACTAAGGAGACCAGCAGACAGAAAATATTTGTAAAAATCTTCTCAGGTATTAGTTTCAACATATGAGCCCAAGACCTTGATAATGCTGAGGTGTTCAGAATTGTGTCTTTCAGGTTAAGCCTGTGATCATTTTACTAATCTGAAAATGCCTTTAACAACTTCTTCTTCTTCTCTTTAATCTGTAGGCATTTCTAAGGAGCACATGACATTCATCTTTGAATAGAAGATTCAGTTGAATGACAGTCTCTTTCATTTAGTAGAGGAGTTTTTGCTGTAACTTTTGCTGACAGGCTTTCATGACAGCCTTCAAATGGAAGCTTGAATTCACTTGTCATAGCTGTTATAGAGTTGGATTTTTTTCTTTTGGTATATTTATGTGATCTGACCCTTTCACTTATTATTGCTAATATTGACCTTAAAAGTATAAAAGGGAAGAGTATAGACAAAGCCTCTATTTTTGAAGGCTTTCTGTAATCTAGCAGCAAAGTCAATTCACTGTTGAATTTTCCTCTTAAGAAAATCATCATCATAATGTGGCAGAATCTCGCTAATTTTCACTTCATACTTGAAACCCCTTTAATTCTCAGGAGAACAAGAGCACGTGGTAGATTTTATTCACTATCAGCAAAGATTTAATAGCAGGAAAATGGCGTTAAAGACTTTTTTGTATCAAAAAGCATTAAAATAGATAAGTACAAGAGAGCAACATAATTTAATGCTATGTCTTGATTATGTTTTATTTACAATCTGTTTTAATATTTATGTTTCAATACTAAATTCATCAATAAAACAATATTCTAAGATTATAGTAGATAGCTTTTATCTAAAGGGACAGTTATCAGAAGTTTTCTGTTTTCCATAGAGGGAAGCCAAGGTAACAGCATTTTGTGTAACATTACCTGGTTTTGGTTATTTGTCCTGGGATCTGAGTGTTAGATAACAAGGAAAGGGTATATGTGAAAAAATTTATTCTTTAGAATGTATACTAGGATTCTGTTGTATGACAAGGCTATTAATTTTTTTGTAGAAAATTGCTCTTCAAATCTTAACTAAAAACCGAAGACTATCTGCTAAATTCATTAATTTTTTCAACATTAAATCCCTTATTCAACAAATGACTAAGCATACAGTTGGAGGGACATGTTTTTTCTAAACTGGACCACAGATTTCTTTTTATTACAATAGGGCTGCTCTAGCAATGCCTTTATGGTTGTGAGGCTCTTTCCATTAGATTACAGTTTAGAGATTCTTATTATCAACATTGAAATGGGTAGTGTCATTGCTAGAACTTGGTATTAAACATGTCATTTGACTTAGGTAAATAATTACTATTGAAACTATTACCTAAAAACCTTTAAATAGAAGTTCATGTGGGAAAACAGCACCCAAAGTTTTAAGATGAAAATAATTGTGTGTGTTCTCATTTAAAATTCCACATATTACATCTAGACAAATTATTATTTTTTCTTCTTGTCATAAAGACATTTTATTTTAATCATCATTGGTTACTCCAAAAGACACTTGATCATTCTATCATTGTTGTCCTTACAAAGAGCATATTCCCTTTTAGGCAAATTATTTTAAGCTGCCAAATTCAGCATATTTTGGTTCCATGCTACAAATTATGCTAATTTTTATGAGGGTTATTTCTTATGGGATGCCTATAGTATTCTTACAATATTTAAATCAAAAAGAGAATATTAATAAAAAACATTGTAAGTTAAATTTTATTCAGCCTGACATTTTCTATATGATACATGAGCATCCTAGGTATATAACTAATTTTGTGTGACCATGGATGATAGATGGAGTTATGCTCTTTTTAGAATATATCTATAATTGATAGTGGTTATAGTTGCTTCTCACAATCTCTTTGAAGGTCCTTTGGTTTGGGAGTATACATAATTTTCAGTTATTATGATATGTTCATATATATTTTCAATCTCACTGCCTTATGAAAGTAAAGATGTGGTCATTCTTAAAAAGAAATGACTAACTCGGTTTATTAAGAAAGACACAGTCAAAAGCCAGGAATTCATTTGTCATCCTTCTGTAGTTGTTAGGACAGCAGCACTAATCTGGCCAACTAACCTTTAAAAGAACGTGCAAAGTCAAAGATGTCAGGTTGTAGCAGTAAATATTCACAAGCAAAGTTTTTATATCAAAGACTGGAACTTTCGAAGATGCCCCTGGGATTTAGTGTACTCTAACATCTATTAATCCCTGATACCTTAGGTGACTTGTCAAAGAAGTGCTACATTTACAAGGAGTGTGCAAGGAGGCCCAAGAGGACAAATTCAGCTAAAGGTCAAGGAAGCAATTAATGTTCTCTACTTTTCCCTGAAGAACTTCCTCAGCAAATGTTGCCCTCTCCCCGCCCCCTTCAATCTTATTAGCAAGGCAAGTGCATATAGTGAGATGAAAGTTAAAGTTCAAATAAAACATATTACCAATATTATTTGGTTCTTAGAACTCTCCCTGAATGTGAATGCATGCAGTTGTTTAAGTAGTACAGTTAAAAATATTAAATAGAAGAGATGGTTCTTGCTGAAGAATATTAATTTTTTTATGTCTTTGTTTTCTCTGCATCTCTGTCAAGAGTCAATGTTTACAGTAGTTGTAGAGTTGGGTGGTGGGCTGGGCCCTTCCTGTGGGGTGTAGTTAAGTTGGAGCTCTTTTGGAGAACACATGGTTCTGTCTGGATTCTAAGTGCGACACATACACACACGCACGCATGCGCGTACACATACATCTATTTCCTAGTCCTTTAAATTTGTGAAAACTGCTATGTTCCCTCAGGTCTTTTCTTCTTTATAATGAACATGTTGATCTCCCCAAACTGTCCTCTTTATAAGGTTGAGTTTAAAAATTTCTCACCTCTCAGGTGCTCTAATTTCTCAGTATCTCTCTACAGTGGGGCTTCCTGAGAACATGGTGTACGAGTATGCTCTGACCAGCATGAACTAGAACAGAGCCTTTACTACCTCATTTAGAAATTATATTGTTAACAAGGCCTGGGTGTAACAGCTTTTTTGACAATTGTATTATGCCAAGGACTCATATTGAGCCTGTGGCCAATTAAATCTATATATCTGTTTCTCTTTTCAAGCAGCGTGGTTAAACTCAGGCTGAATGTGGTCTTTAGACTTACCTTTATTAAATTTCACATCGTTGTGTCCAATCCACTCTTATCTCACCAAGATATTATGATCACATTTGGCTTTCTAGCATACTTGTTGTTCCTATCTCATTTATACCATCTGAAATTTGATCATACTCAGTATCATCAAACAATTGATGAAAATGTTTGTCAGGGCAAAGCTGAGAACATACCAATTATTAGAAAGGTCTGCCCAGGTGGGCATCAAAGCCATGTGCTTTGGGGGCACTGTGGAAAAACTCTTTCATCCAATCCAATACTTCTTCATGGGGATGCTGTGAGATACCACATGTACTGCTGAAGTTCAGATAAACTGTGTCTATGAATTTGTAGTTTTCCCCAGTGTAGGGTCCGTGTCTGTCTGGCTAACTACTCCATTTCCATCACCCAGCGCTGTGCCTGGCACACAGAGTAAAGTAACTGGAATTGCACTGTGTGGCCAACATGGAAAGTTCAGATCACATACTTCATCATTAATCTTTCTCTTATTCTATATGAACTGATTGGTGGCCCTTAAAATGTATTGCTTTTAAAAAGTATATCAATTCTTTGTTTCATGTAGCATTGCAGAAATGGCTAGTGGTGATTTTCAGCTTCAGTAAAAATCTGAAAGATGTTGTTACCCTGATGTATGAAATGTTAGTTTATGAGTTATTTCAAATAGTTTAACGTATTAGATTATTTTATTTCATCTAAAGTCACTGACTATTCAAAAGTCACTTAGACTGAGTAGAAATACTGCATTTCCATCTGGTTCTTCTCCTTTTTCATGGATTTACTAACGCAGCCATTGCCTTTATTTTTTCTACTTTCAGAGATCAGAGAAAACTATGATGACAAGCAGGTGGTCACAGAGATCTTGGCAAGGTGTTTCACTCCAACTCTGATAACAACCACTGCCTGGGAAGGTTTTCATTTTGTTGGTCATGAGATTCGGATTACTGAAGCCATGGACTGTTACGGTGCTGTTGTTTGGCCATCGGTATAATTTCACACAAAATTTGCTACATTCTAATTACTTTCCAGCCAGTTTGGTTCATTATTATATTCTACTTGGAAAAAGAAAATAGGTTCCATAGTCTTACTTTGTGACCTCAAATAACATTAAATTTTAGAAATCACATGATTAGGAAATTGCTTCTACCAATTAATTCTATTTTGGATTTTTATCAAAATTTGTAGGAATAATAAAGTTGTTTATTCCTTCAGTTTTTTTTTTAACAAATTTATAATAGTAAACATTTTTATTTCCCATTTTGCTGGCATTTGAACTGAATAATTATAATGAAACTATGAGTCTCACGTGCAGAATATTCTAAAAGGCCCCCACTCCTTTACCGATTGTCCTATGAAAGGTAGTGGACCAACCACCATTGCTTTTCTCAACCCTTTACACTACTTGGAAATGACTAGTAGTATTAGAAGGTGCTTCCTTTAAAGATGATCAAACCTAAGCAACTGAATTCTGTATTTTTAGTTATCTCTGGTTTTTTCCTAACAATCCCCAAAAGCTTTTTCTAGCCAAAATGTTGAACCTTTCAGTAGATGTACTTCTGCTGATGATAATTTGGAGTGATGTGCATGTACACACACAAATACACTCACATGCTCACACGTATACACACATATCATAGCATCAGTGGCATATTTATCTAATAGAATTTAGTTTTATTTTCTGTTACTATTTGGACAGCACCACATTTTTCTTTTTTTAAACTCTTGTAGGCCCTTGTTCTGTGCTATTTCCTGGAAACAAATGCAAAGCAGTATAACATGATTGACAAAAATGTGATTGAAATTGGAGCTGGAACAGGGCTGGTCTCCATTGTGGCAAGTTTACTTGGTAAGTAGATCTTTTTGATTGAATAGGGGTCAGAGAATTTAATGATCAAATATCATTAGTTGTTTTACTATCCAATGTACTATGACCTGGGCCTATTTGTAACTTTTTAATTGTTTGATTGGGCTTCATCAAGAAGCTCTACCAATCTTAAAGTCTTCTTCCTGGCTTCTTTTAGAACTTTCTGTGTAAGTTGTGTTGATTCTTTGATAAAGTGCTAAGTCACAGGCCTTAGATAAAGTATCTAAATGGGAGGTGCACTTAAGCCTGCTGGTTGCTATAGTAGGTGTGTGAAATACCAGGCAGAGACAGGATCTATTGCTGCTGATTCTGATGCACTTTAGATTTTAGTGCTATTTCAGTGTTCCCATGTAGCTGTAGATTCCTTTTGGGTTTTGAAGTGCTATGCTTTTATGAAAAAGCACCTGCTAGAATAGGGAAGAAGTATTATAGATCACATAAAAATCACATGTCCACTTCTATTTTTAGGTATTTGTCCTTGAATTTATTTTCTCAGTTCATTTCCATTCTTCTTTCATGACCTCTACTTCTCTCACCAGCATCTTTTCCAACTAAGCGTGTGATAGTCTCTATGTATGCTGGAGCCTATTTCAGTTCACTCTTTTTTTGTTATTATCTATTTCATTGCCCTAATTTAGCTGCCTGCTCTGGTGTGCACTACCCAAATCTGTCTTGATTTACTTGATCTTCAAAAGTGCACACCTGCCACTCTAAAATCTTGAGAGGAATTCAAGATTCAGCAATTTACAACTTTCTAAACACTGGAGAGACATAGGACCCTTGAAGTCCTCCCAAATATATTTTTGAAAAATTACTCTGTCCTGGTACTACTTTCCAAAGTCACTATTCCATTTAGTATGGATAGAGTCAGAGTCACTGTTTGATTTATACCTGAAAGTCTCAGAATTTGTGTTTTGGGAAGCCATTTGTTTTATTAAAAAGCATTGATCCCTTTGGTCTGTTTGTTTAACTTGAAACAAATATCAAAAGATGAAAGCTTTGTTTAGTCAGTATTTAGAAAGTGGTGGTGTTTACCTCTCTAGACACAAAGATATTAAGTGTAATAGTCAGATAGTTTACATTTAATATGGGAAGAGGTATATTCCTTATCCTAGGATTTTAAAAAGATTTGTTGAAAATGATAGACCCACCCACAGTAGAATATAAAGGCTTATATTTCTGTGATTCTACCAATGATATGCATATTTCTCTTTCATTTTAACATTTTCATGAAATATTGTGACAATGTGGCCAAGGAATGGGTTCTAGTTTGGTCTAAGCTGAACTAGACTTAGCTTCCAATTCTGCTTTCCCATTCTTTACCCTGGTCTGTGCTTGCCTGATGCTGTGGAATTGGCCAATCCTAGATTTATTTAAAGATTTTTTTTTCAAGCCCTGGTACTGTTCAAAGTTCACTTTAGGGACCAAATTTCTACAAATTTTCTCCTGTGAATTTTTCTTCCTGTAAATGACCACCACTATGCATTTTCAACTTGGAAATTGTTTACATCTTTAAGCATTCTGTCATGTATCTATGATCTTTGGCTTTCTGAGCACCATATGATATGCATGTTGTAGCTTTAAACACCTTTTGGTGGGAAGATTAACACTTATGATGGGGTCAAGCTGAAAACTTGGGCATAAACATGGATGTCGTTGTACTTTCCATATGATGTCATCAAAAAACCTTCTTTCCTCCCACTACTTCTCATGCAAGGTCTTCTCGTTCAACTATAGAATGCCCCATGTTACATACTCTCCTTCGATCCATGTGACTGAATTCTTTTAGGGAGATGCTTACATCAGTGACTTCTGATTGTTCTAATGAGGGTACCAAATATTTTGAATTTCCCTTTCTCTCTATTATTTTTCTCCTAACATGTAGTAGAGAAATAGAAAACAGCCATCACCACGAAACAAACCACAAACAAAAAGCCAAGAGAACAGAGAAATGCAATGGTGTGCACAAGTACCATGGGACTCATTTATTTTTCTTTAAACAGCAGTCTATAGCTGCCTTAACATATATTTTGAAAGGGATTCCCTTTCTGTGTGTATGTACTGATCAGTCCTTTCCTTGGCACTAACAATTGTGCAGAATTGCAAGGTGCGTGTTGGCTTCAAACTTTTGATTATTTTAGCTTATCCCACAAGGATTACTTTTTCTTTTGTTCTTTGTTTCACAGGTGCTCATGTGACTGCCACAGATTTACCTGAATTACTTGGAAACCTACAGTATAACATTTCCCGAAACACCAAGATGAAAAGCAAGCATTTGCCTCAGGTTAAAGAACTTTCCTGGGGAGTAGATTTAGATAAAAACTTCCCCAGGTCTTCCAATAATTTTGACTATATCCTGGCAGCGGATGTGGTCTATGCTCATCCTTTCTTGGAAGAACTCCTTGTTACCTTTGACCATCTGTGCAAAGAAACCACCATCATCCTCTGGGTCATGAAATTCAGGTTGGAGAAAGAAAATAAATTTGTAGGTAGATTTAAGGAGTTGTTTGACCTAGAGGAAATTTCCAGTTTCCCTAGCCTGGATATTAAGTTGTATAAAGCTATGAAGAAAAATCGAAGAAGTGCATGATGATGTCCTGATTGAGGACATGGAAGCGCTAAGGCAATTTCCAGCCAATTATCACTTTAAAGAAAACCCTAAATAATTGGATGTATCACTGACTTTCCCAAAGGGAAACACACACACACACACACACACACACACACACACACACACACACACACACACACTGCTATGAGGATAGAAAATAGTTTACCAAATTTGCCTTACCCCAGACAGAGATTTTCCCAGACACAGCACATGGATCTGCAGGAATTGAGGTAACTTGCTCCCAGTCTATTTCCATCAGCATTCGGGGCCACACTCTACTTACATGGTAATGGGAACTCCTGGCAAAGTCACACTGCACAGCTCCTGTCTGCTCTCCTTATCTCTTATGTCACTGTTTATCATTATTATTTTAATAAACGGTGCAGTTATTATTTTTTAATGTGTAATTGCAAAATGATGGTTTTTAATAATATTCCTACAATGAACATTGTTATTAATTCTCTTAAACATAGCCTGATGTGATTCTTTAGAAATAAAGAAATTAACCATAGTAGGATCTGCAAATAAATCTGAACAGGCAGATACATAATGTAATGGTAAATCTTAGACTTCCATGGTTTTTATTAGTGCCAGCTGATAGGTGGTCTGTCATCTCTCCCTGCTGGCCAGGGGACCTCCAGCGTAACCTCTGAAATCAGTCAGGCTTGTGGATTGGAGGTTATGGGCAAGGACATGTCACTCTAGCAAATGAAAAATGAATGGAAGCAAACACAACAGTTGAGGTCTTAGAGGAGTTATTTTTAAGCCAACTGCAGTTATTTTGTATCACAGAAACAAAAATAAATATAACAACTGTGGGTTAAAAATATAAATGAAGGGATTTAGGCCTCTAATCTCAAATAATCAGACATATGGCTGGTTTTAAAGTTTAAAGCGCTTCTCATGATCATAGATACACCTAGATATTTGAAATTCTGTGTGATTTTTTTCACATGTGCCTTAGAGATTAGAATAAAGTCTAAAGTAAATAAATCAGAGCAAAAAGGGCAAAAAATTAGGAGTTTGTACTTTGCAATTGCCTAGACTGTATTGGTTGACAACCTGTGTCCTCAGTGACATTTTTTAGGCTGTTTCCATGCCCTCAAGGTGGCACTTGCTCTACTGGGATGGGTTCTTTCTGCTCGGTGGAAAGTGTCAGTCCGCTCAGAGCTGAGCATAGTTGAGAGAGTATTTCCTAGGACCCCAATCTGTAGGATGCAAATACATGCCAGTGATTGGTGGACCTTCTCCCAATAATGTCCAATATTTACATGGACCTCTGTTGTTTTGAGTCTGTTATTTATACAAAGTCATCTGCTCCTCACAACCTTCTCAGAAGTGTGAATTATATCCTTACCCCAACTTCACAGGTAAAGATGCTGTGGCTGAGAGGTGCCACGCCACTCATCTGCAGAGTGGCCGAGCTGGGAGGTTCAAGCCCAACTCTGTTTGGGCCTAAAGCCTGTGTCCTTCACCACTGCACTGTCTTTATGTGTTTAAAACAGTACTTTTCAAACTTTTAAAAAAATAAGTGAAGTCATTTCTTCAAAATGAAATATATACCCTGAAAGATAAGCAAAAACAGAAAAAAAAATGAGAGCTGTTCTTCCTTAATACTTTTCTCCCATTTCCTACTGGGGTAGGTCAGGGTAGGTGTGCTTAGAAGGTGACATTTAAGCAAAACTGAAAGGAGGCGAGGGAGGTAGCAGTGCAGATATCTGGGCAAGTGTGATCCAGGCAGAAGGAGCAGATGTGTGGGGACCTTAAGGCAGAAGCATGCTGATCTTTTGATCCTTTTGAAGAAAGATCCAAGGCCAGGGTGCTGGCTCAGAGCAGAGTGAGCAGGGAGGTCGGTGAGACATGGAGTCACAGGGGCTGCGGGGAGCTGGATCACGTCAGACTGTTGCAGGCTGGGTTCTCTGGAAAGAGACTCTGGGAGGGAATCGGGTGAGCCGCTCATTTATTAGGGATGCTGTTGGAGTGAAGCACTATGGAAAGGAGCAGAAGGAAGCAGGACAGAGTGGAGGCTCAGCTACATGGCAGGCACGACCACAGCCCGAGCCGGCACCCGCATGGAGAACGGCACCTAGAGTTGCCTCTCAGACGTCTGGGCCTTGATAAACCCGTGTGGCTCTGTCACTGGATACGGGCTGTCCTGGGAAGACTCTGTGACCTTGGGCGAGGTGACTCTTCCGCTGAGGCAATCCCTGAAGATGCTGACAGCTGCGGGCTGTCTGCCAACAGCAGTTCCAGCAGCAGGGTAATAATAAGTCGTTCTGAAGAGGGTCTGAGCAGCACATAACAGTGTCCACCGTGACCTTGTAGGCCATGGAAAGATCTTTGGCTTTCCTTCTGGTGAAATGGAGACTCTCTGGCTGGTTTTGAGTAGAGGAGTGAAATAATATTTCTTTGTGTAAGGACCACTCTGGCTGGTGTTTTGAGAACAGGATGTAGGGGCAAGAGACCAGCGAGGGGGCCATCCAGGCAGGAGAGGAATCTGCGCGGGGGTGGGGGCGCGCAGTGGTGCATCTAGAAGCCAGAGCCGACGGGTCCTCCCCCTGCACCGAGCACGGCGTGTGCAGGAGGGTCCTGGCTGAGCTACTGGGCATCACCTCAGAGTTGCCAGCGTAGAGGTGAGATCTGTGGAGCTCCTGCAGGAGCAGAGTGAGTAGATTACACAGAATAAAACAAGGACTGAGTCCCGAGGCACGCCAACATGAAGAGATAGGATGTGGGTGTATTTTGAGATGGTTTTGGAGGCTCTACATTCCGCCTCCCCCAAGCTATATTAGTATCTGTTGACCCTGACAAATATGAATTTGATACTGCAGTGGTTTTTGAGCTGGTCAGTAGAGTTCCAAGGTTCCTGAAAGTTGCCTCAGAGGCTTCTAGGGACCTGAGAATTGTAGGTGCAGCAGAGGCATCTTGGGGTAACAAGTGAAAAAATTGTTCCTCTGCTAAAAAAATTTTTTTAACAATTATTACTAAGTTATTTTTAGGTAGAATAGATAAAGTGGCCTTCCAAAGACACTGTTAGGACCAAACCAACCATATGGTTCTTTAAAGTTCCTCCTTCTCTACGTGCCAATCTGTCAAACACAGAGTCCCGCGTCTATTGTTTTATGCTGTTTATAGTATTTACTCGCAAATTTTAACACCTGCCCACACACACCATCTCTCCTTTTCCACTTTCTATGTACTAGCTTACTCTTTTATCTTTTTGCTGTAGTTTACTCATACTCTTCTAGATTCAATTTTACCATAATTTAATTTCTAAATATGTAATTTGAATAGGCTTTTTCTAAAAAAAATTTTTATGACTGGGTTTGATTTGTTAACTTCAAGGGAGTTATATTGTAAATTTTTGTGCCTTTTTATATGGCTCTTTGACAAGGTAGACTATGTTATTAAAAACCTCAGTTCAATTCTTACAGTGACTTTCTGGATTTCCAATAGAATGAAACTACTGATTATCAAGGTTTTAGTGGAAATTATCACACAATAGTTATTGCTCCCAGCAGACATATCAACCTGCAGGTGATATTCTGTAGCTTAAAATTACACATAGGTAAACCACAAGAGTTTTATGCCCCAGACTGTATAAACTGACTTTAGGAAACTATGTACTGCATTAAAATCTTTTATCTTAGAATTTAATGATATATCTTCTTTTATTTGTACCAATTTTTATCTACCAGAATTTTAGAAAAATATTTTTTCATTCCATATTCATACTCTTTTTTTTTTTAGATAAAAAATTAGTGGCATTGGGTAACTTCCTAATATATTTGCAATCAATAGTGCAAACTTGTTATTGTGGAAGAAAAAAGATGAGGAAACATAACAGAGTGGATTGTTCCTTTTTTCATTAAGGCCTCAGATTCCAGGAGCTTGGTGTTCTCTACAAATACCTGTGCTTTATAGGCAAGAGACCCTGTCTAACTTGTTTTAGGTAGCACCGTTTGCATATAAACAAATAAATAATTTACAAATATCCATTGGAAGTAAAACAGGTCCACTGGGTAGGATTTTCGATTCAAGAAGATATTTGCATGTACTAACTTTGAAAACAAGCTGGACACCTTGGGTTCTTTTAATAGATATAAAAGAATTAAAGTTGACCATAAGTAAATCAGACAAGAAAGCTTATTGATAAAGCTAAAAGAAAATTAACATACTGAGTTTCTTTCTAATTCCTTTTAATTTAGTTTTCATGGAAATCTGTAGGTGGAAGAAATAAAAATTGTCAAATAAATGCATTTGAAGTTAAAAAGGTAATAATAAGAAACAAAACTGGGAATGGAGCAGGTACATAAATTTGCAAAAGTACAGGGTACAGGCAAAGCAAAATAAAAAAACAACAGACATTTTTGTTAGTGTGTATGGATGTGGACCCAGTTCTTTATATCTACTTTTTGAAGCCTGGAAGTGGTTCACACACAAGTCACACACCCAGGTTTTGCCATGTTTGAGTTTGTGATGTGAAATTAAGTCTAGCTAGCATATTACCTGCAAGCCCAATGCCAATATTTGCTCGGCTTTCAAGCTCCTCATAAAATCAAAGACAGTGTTCTGGATAATTATGTGGTAGTATTAATGGGATAGTTGTGTTTTAGGTGGCCTTAGTTAGCATCAGTTAGTTCTGAGGTAATATTAACTCCTGTTATTAAGGATCCCTGTGCTGGACATTCGTGTTTGCTCAGGTCGTATATAGCTGTATAGTGTCTGGATTGCTGGGTATACACTCCCGACTGCTTGTTCTATTGAACTAACCTTTGGTGTCTATCATGAGAGGTGCTTTTATTGGACAGACTCGAAGGCAGGACTTTTTCCTCTCAATTCTCTCAAGTTCTTTGTTTCTAAGGCAATTGTCTTTCTCTGAAACCCAGTCATTTTAGAATTGGCACTCACCTTCAAGGAATTTTAAGAGACTACTAAAGATGATAATAGATGTCTGGGTCAATTTTGTGATAAATAGCATTAATAGAAAAGTCATAGAAAAATATTGGCTATCTACTGCTGACCACTAACACTTTAACCACACCAAAATATATTGTTTGGTTTTGCAAAGAAAAGCACAAGCAGAATACAATTAAAACATGTCATTAAAATATTTTAATGGCTAGGCATTATTTTATGATGACACAAATACAAGATACAGACTTTTCAAAATCACCTATTTGGCAAATGCTAGGTATTTTAGTTTAGGTTTTGAAAATTTCTATATTTCCTTGTCCATGGTCTGTACTCTGCTTTAATTTTAAATTATGAGTCATCCCTCTACCTTCCCTGGATTTTTTAGTGTTATGATTTAATTTGGGTTTTCTTATCTAGT